TTCCAACTTCAAATTTCGTCGGAAATCCACTCATAAGAAGCCCCAAAAAGTAGGGTGGACATTTCTGCACCCAGCATCAAATAGGGCGAAAATCCACAGAAGTAGGGCGGAAATTGGCATCAGCGGGGCTTGAAAAGTAAGGCGGAAATTCCAAGCCCTACTTACGAATTTCCCCAAAGTAGGGCGGATCCGGAGTCAGGGCGCCCGAAGCAGCCCGGCGAGAGAGGCGGCCACGCCAGAGGAAGACAAGACGCTACAAACGTCAACTTTTGGCACTCCGCGCGGATTTCTTGGATCTGCGCTGGCCCCCCCTCCCTGGCGCGCAGGGCGCGCCAGGGGCGGCGCCAGAGGCGCCGCCAGGGGGGCCCAGCGCGGAGCCAAGAAATTCGCGCGGAGCGCCAAAAGTTTATGTTCATGGCGTTTTCTTCTTCGACACACGCAAGAGGGACCCTGGGCACGAGTGACCTTTGGCGCGCGTGGGGGCCAACTCCAGGCGCGCAAGCCAGTGCTGGGAGTAGCCCCGACGGGGCCACCTCGCTCTTGGCCGTGGCCTGGGATAACCTCGCCCCTCCTGCCTCGGCGCCACCACCTCAAGGAGGGAAAGACCCACACGGAGCAGCGCTGGTGGCAGAGCAGCTGTGAGGTTAGTCTGAAGAGTCCCCGCCTTCCGCCTGGCCCACTGGGGGCAACAGCAGGGTATTGTCACTCCGGCGAAGGGTCACCCTTACGTATGGGCGAGGGAGGTCTGGGGCTCGGCTCGGGCCGGGCTGGGCGAGGATCATAGCGCTGCGGCATCGTAGGGATGCACGGGATGCCCAGAGCTCCTCGCGTCGCGAAAAAATCACGACGGGGGGGGGTCGATCATGTTCGGCCTCCGGGAACCCTCACCCAGCCCAAGGACCGTCAGGACGAAGAGCCGGTCCTGGGGAAGGGGTCCAGACCTCTGGGAGTCGACGTTGTGACAAGATCGCGCCGCCAGAGTTCTCGGCGGATGCAAGGCCCTTGGACACCCATGCTGAAGACTTTTCGGGGGGCTGGCCAATGAAAATGGCCAATCGTAGGCCGAGGAGGCAAGAATGCAAGGGCATCTTTGGCAAGTTGCTCAACGTTGCACATTCCTGGGCTGCGGCTGAGGCTCCAACAAAAACTATGGCCAGCGCAGCAAACGAGCGCGGGCGCAGACAGGGGCGCGCGAGCACGCATCCACGCGCGCGGCTGCTGGTGGAAGGGGGCCCGGCACAGGAGCTGCAGGCGCCTGCAGGCTACGCTACGTCAACATGTTTGCCAGCGTGGACCCCAAGCAGTAGTGGGCTATTGCGCTGTGGATGTGTCAGAAAGCTGGTGCAAGCTGTGTGGTGCAGGCGCTGTGGTGCCATGCGTGTGGTGCAAGCTGTGCGGCGCACGTCGTGTGGTGCAAGCGACATGGTGCAGGCTACGTGGTGTAGAAGACTATGTGGTGTGAGCAATGCGGTGTTAGCTAGCTGGTGTAAGAAAAGCGGTGCAATCTGGGTGGTATATGGTGGTATGCGCTATGTGGTGTAGCAGTGTGGTGCAAGCTGTATGGTGTAAGCTACACAGTCCAAGCTATTGTGATAAAGCTAGAACCCTCCTCGAAATACAGCGCAAGCTTTGATCCGACCCCCTCGCCACCGAGTTTCCTCGAAATCCCACGCAAGTTGTTACTATTATTGTTCCTCGAAGTCCAACGCAAGTTTTGATCCCGACCCCCTGACCCCCGAATGTCCTCGAAATCGAGCGCAGCTTTTGATCCGACCCTCTCGCCCCCGAGTTCCCTGTCGATGGACGCGCGCAGCGCGGCCCGCGGGGTCAACAACAAAAAATGCGGCCGCCAGCGTCGGCGTCAGCTTGGAAATTCTGGGCCGGGAGGCGTCGCCACGTCGTGGGACACACTTTCTGTTGATCCGCGGGTCGAGAGCGCACCTCTTCGGGTCGAAGCTGAGCGGGCCGCGCACAGCTTTCATTAACGGAGGGGGGAAGGCAGAAGGAGGGGCCCCACGTCAAGACCAAGAGAGGGCAAAGCCCTGGAATCAGGCACGTCGTGGGAAACGCTCGCGTTTGGTTTCGAGGAGGCATGTACCCCTGTGGGTCCAATCCGTGCTGGGATGTCTGACACCCCTGCTGGGGTGCGCTCGGCTCCAGAGCTCCTTCGAAGGAGTCTCGGCCCCGGCTGGCGCTTCGGACATCTGCGGGCGCCCGCAAATCTCCTCCCCCTCCCCCCTCCCGGGGTACACCCCGATCCGATCGATCCGACTCGAGACCGACTCCAGCGGGCCGATCCGATCCGAGGGCGACAGTCTGGAGATCCGATGCGGCCCGATGCTTGCATCAGGTCGGGCATGCCATCCTATTGGCGGACTTTGGACGAAAAATCAAACATAGTCAGAACATATTCCCACATAGTCAAAAAAACAGACAAAAATCGTCCCCATACTATTTTTGGACTATTTTTGAACATTCCTCCTGTAGAGGGACATGCCCGACATACAGCTGCGGCGCATCAAATACCCGACATGCCCGACATGCATGCCGGGCCGCGCGGAGCGAAGAAGCCCCATATGCCCTGAAGACTTATGTTGTTCCCATCCTACGTAAGGGCCGCATTTTAGAAATAATTTCGAGCACCGAGAAAAATGTCAAAATAGTGTCGAATTAGTGTTGAAACAGTGTCTCCCAGGGCCCAGCACGTGAAAACCCTTGAGTTTCGGTACTGTCTTGGGGCGCTCGAAACTCTTCCTGGTGCTCCAAGCTACAGTAGGCTGGAGCATCATAACCTGAAGACAAACACCCGGTTTCTTGGTGTGCGCCTCCGCTGCCACGCTTGCCTGCGGCCTGGGCTTCTGTCGGGCGTGTCCCCCTGCAGGGGGATTTCCGACGAAATATCAAAGATACCCTAAAAATACCCCCAAAAGGTCAAACAATATTCAAAAAATAGTCCCCAGACTATTTTTGGACTATTTTTTGTCTATTTTTGGTGTATCTTTGATTTTTCGTCGAAAATCCCCCTGTAGGGTAGGGGGCCGCATGCGGCCCCTACCCCTACCCCCCACGATTTCTGAGGGGGAGGGGGGGGTTCACTCCGCTCGGGAGCTCCCGAGCGGAGTGAACCCCACCCTCCCCCTCAGAAATCGTGGGGGGTATAGGGGTAGGCTTCGCATGCGGCCCCCTGTAGGGGGACAGGCCCGACTTACGCCTGGGCGGCCGCCCCGCGCGCGAGGCGCCCCGCCCGCGCGGCGCCCGCCGCCGAGGGCGGCCACGGGCGGGCACCGAGCGGGGCCTCGGCACACGCGCCCGCCCGGCGCACCGAGGGCGCCCCACGGGGGCGCCCACGAGCGGGCACGGCAGCAGCAGCAGCAGCAGGAACAGAGGGTGAGGAGGGGACGGGGAGGAGGAGGAGGAGGAGGAGGAGGAGGAGGAGGAGGAGGAGGAGGAGGAGGAGGAGGAGGAGGAGGAGAGGAGGAGGAGGAGGAGGAGGAGGAGGAGGAGGAGCAGGAGGAAGAGGAGGAGGAGGAGGAGGAGGAGGAGGAGGAGGAGGAGACCAGATGGCTTCGAGGGCCCGTTCGAAGGCATTTTGTAAGGGATGTCTCGAGTGAAACGCTGATTTTTCAACGACAATGTTAAAAACACGTTGGTTTTTCAATATTTTCGCTTCTTGGGCCATCTTGGGGGTCATTCGAGATCGCTCCGAAAAGATGCCTTACAAGAGCTGTGCCAGCATCCCATGTTTTCGAGGATGTCTCGGGCGAAACGCCAATGTTCGAGGATCCGAAAATTAGGCGAGCGATTTCCAGATCTCCATGTTTGGAGGATGTCTCGAGCGAAACGCCTTTTTTCAGCAACATACGTCTTAAGATATGACCCTCAACTTCACGATTTTGTAGGCCCCCAGGGCCACCGGGGGAGGAGGGATGCGCCCGCGGGGTGCAGGATTTAGGGCGACGGCGCAAACTTCCACGCGCCCCCTGCCCCCGATGCAATGTTGATTGGCTGCGCCCGCGGGGTGCAGGATTTAGGCCTGTCGGCAGATCGACAAATCGCGCCACAGCCTGCCAATATAAAATTTGGGGCGCGGGGGGGCGAAAACAAAAATCTAAAAAAAGGTGCAGGATTTTGTCCATCAACCGCCCGACCACAAGAAACCCAACCCTGAGACCCCAGGATTTCCACCGGTTTTTGGTGCGAGAGCGTCCAGCTTTCCACAGCAAAACCATCGAGACCCAGGAACCCCGGGGCACCCTGGAGGCAGGCCAGGTTCTTCTTCAGAGGAAGAGGCACACTCCGAGTTTCTCGATAAGCGCGGGGGGGTACCCCCCCGACGGGGGTCAACGTCAACCTGTCCGCGCGCGTGGGCCGGCGGTCTGGTTTCTGAAAAGGTGGGCGTGCGCCGACGGGGGTCGACGTCGCCTCGTCTGCGCACTGGCGTGGGGGGTCTGGATTTGAGCGCGTCGGCTTCGCGCGACTGGGCAAGTGCAGTTTAACTTTCGGGGCCCGCGCGGATCTCCTGGATCGGCGCTGGGCCCCTCCCACAACCTTTTCCTCGGTGAGCGGAGCGCGCCGGGCCATCGAACTTCGATCCTCGAATCGTGATTCACTGTAGTGAAAAATATAATAAGGACGCGCGGTAAGGACGCAAGACCCTTGGAGGCCGAAGTTGAAGTATTCTGGGCGGCAGGCGGCCAAACCCCCAGGGAACCTGAGAAACTGGCCTGCGAAAATTGCTAGGGACGGGCAGCAGAGGCTGAGGCAGGCAAGGACCCAAGGGTGCCCTTGAAAAAATCGTTTGTCATTACTATGCGCGTTGACTGTACCGTCCTCGGTGGCAACTCACGGGAGCCTCTGGTGCCCTCTTGCTGGCTCTTGCGAGCCGGCGCTGGCCGACGCCAATCGACGCCCCTCGGCCCTGAATCGACGCTGAATCGGCGCTTTCTCATCGACCACCAGACGCCAGCGCACGCGAAGGTACTCTGAAGGTGGAACTGCGAGGGCACACGAGGCTCGCAGCGCACGCGAATGCACTCCGAAGATGGAGCTGCGAGGGCGTCCAGGGCTCCCATGAAGCGCCACCGAAACCGGCGGAGACCTGGGTGCCTACCGTGCCCCGCGCAGCCATCCGGCGGAGCTCCTCCCTCTGCCGCAGGGCTGGACCCAAACGTTGCTTTTCGTTTCGTTTTCGTTTCGTTGTTCGTTTTGCTGCACCTGTTTTCCTGCACCTCGCTGCCACCACGAAAATCGGGGGAAAACAAACCTACCTCGCTTTTGACCACCCTCGCTTCCAAGAGATACCAAACGATGCCAAATTGCGGCCTGTACTGGTCAGGCCGCTTGACGAGGAGGCGCGTGGTATGGCTTGGTTTTGCCTGGAAGCGAAAGCGGGGGAGGTAATTCACGCTCTGAGAAAAACAAAACACAGCCGAAGTCCGGCAAAACAGCGTTCAGGTCCAGCCCTGCTCTGCCGCAGCGCGCCGGCCAGCTCAGGCAGCAGCGCGCGCCAGCGCGCGGAGGGGCCGCGCTGCCGCCGGCGGAGCCGGCGAGGATGTGCAACGAGGCCCGCGGTCGTCGGTCTCGCCGGGCAGCGGGACCTGCGCACACGTGTAAAGGGGCCCTGGGATGCACAAATAGATAGACACGAATCCAAGGATTCCCCATATTGTCTCATATTTTCTGGGTTTTTGCCTTCCCCCCCACTTCCCATATTTTCCCATATTTTCCTGGGGGTCAACGATCGATTGATTTTCCTCTCCTGAACGTAGCCAGGGCAAGACGAAGCGGGACAGCCTCGGACCAGGACAAATCGGAGATCGCCGAGATCAGGCGGCTCTGAAAGATCGGGCGCCGCGGCCGTCTCACAGCGTCTCGGAGCGCTCTGGAAGCGTTCCGGAACGCTTTGGAATGGTGCAGACCCGCCCGACATCGAGGAGGGGGCATCGAGGGGTTCAGATCTCCTGTCATCTGAGTTTGTCCCAACCATCCTGTGGTGATGGTTCCTCGATTTTCCGATTTTAAGAGACGGCGCCCCGCGTCTCTTTTCGTCCTCCCACTCCTCCATCCTCTCATCCTTGCCCCTGCCCTCCGCATGCCCATTTCGGCACACCCCTCACACGCTTCGTGCCCCCACAGGGAGCTCCAGCGAAGGCCCCCGTGGCAGGGCTCGCGTGCGGTTCCCCGCCCATTCCAGCACACCCCTCGCCCCTCGCACGCTTCGTGGCTCCATAGGGCCAAAGGAAGCTCCCCCGAAAGCGGTGCCACCACGCGGTGCTTACAAAACTGCATCTGGTTGGGTCCTCCGCAAGGAAAACCCCCCCCCCCAGGCGTTCGTCGAGTGCGGCCCTCGGGGACCCGTCTTGAAGCCCCAGGGCCATCAGGCATGGATCCAAAACGAAACCTTTTCCCGAACCGCATCGTCGGATGTCGGCGAGGTCGGATGGACGTCAGCAAGGGAATCGGGCGAGCGAGGGGTGCAGGTTAGCGGCGCCACAGGGGTCCCCAAAGGCCTCTGAGCTGCCCCCCCTCATCCAACGGGTGCTGGAAAGGTGGGCCTGTCTCCCCCGCCCCCCTTGCATTTCCCCCCCGTTTACCTTCCGGCAGGCGGAAGCGGGCTCTACACTCGGGGGCGCGCAAACATGGATTAGCGATCCATGGATTTGGCGCGCGGTCGCCAAATCCATGGATCGGGGGAGGTGCCCTCCCCAAAATGCGGCCGGTACCGCCTCGCTCGTCGGCGGACATCCGCGATTTCCCATGGAAACGGGACCCGTCGCTAATCCACGCCCACTTGATCCATGTTTGCCATCGTCTGATGCACAGAGCCCATGGCGCATGGCGCTCCCTTGGACGAGCGTTTCATTCCGAATCGATCGTTGATGGCCCCGGGGCCCCTGGTGCGGCCCAAAGCCGCGAACAAACTCTGGGCTCCTCTCCCTCAGGACCCCGTTCGCTTCAGGGCGATGACCTGCAGCTCCCTCTGCACATGGGGGCGCATCAGGATCGCCGCGTCGTCCCCGTGCACGAAGAGGGACGCGCTCGCCTGGCGCGCTGTGCTCCAGCCCAGCACCTTCATGGTGGCGGCCTCCAGGCCCCTGCGCCCCTCGCGGGCGTCGCGCGGGTTCGCCCAGAGCGCCTCCCCCGCGTCTCGAACGTGGCCGAAGTATTCGGAGAAGCCGGTCAGGACCTCGTCCACCATGTCCTGGGCGCCGGCGCCGACGGCGCCGGCGGCGGACTCCTGCGACGCACTCCTCGCCAATGCGCAGGGGTGACCCTGGGCAGGATAGAGGGGGCCACATGCGAACCCTACCCCTACCCCCCACGACTTCTGAGGGGGAGGGTGGGGTTCACTCCGCTCGGGAGCTCCCGAGCGAAGTGAACCCCACCCTCCCCCTCAGAAATCGTGGGGGGTAGACTGGTCCTCCTCCTCCTCCTCCTCCTCCTCCTCCTCCTCCTCTCCTCCTCCTCCTCTCCTCCTCCTCCCTCCTCTCCCTCCTCCCTCCCTCCCTCCCTCCCTCCCTCCTCCCTCCCTCCTCCCTGCCCCCCCCCCAGGGGTAGGGTTCGCATCTGGCTCCCTACAGGAGCGGCCTGTATTGCGCGGCTTCCGGGGGCCGTGGCGGGGCCAGATCCTGCGTGCGCAGGCCAGTGCGGGGCCCCCCCCGCGGGCCCGCACAGGCAAGGGTCCCTCCCGCGCAGGGTCCTGCCCCGGCTGGCCGCGCTGCCCCCCCGGCGCCCGCCGGGATGCGAAGGTCCTCTGTGCGCCGGCGCCCTCGCCGAGAGTCCTGGGCGTCGAGCCCGAACGCCGTCGGCATCATGGCGAAGGGACACGGACAGCGGCACGCACGGCAGCTGCGAGCCCAGGGATCCCTGCCAGTCGCCCGCCCCCAGCTCCCGGTGGCCCTGCCCCCGCAGCAGGCTTGCCTGGCTGCCCTCGAGGGAGTCGGTGAAGCCCTTGGCGACTGCCGCGAAGATCGTGAGGTGAGCAGCGCCGCACCTGACAGCGACACTTGTTTTATGTTTCCATCGCCGCTGGTGAGGGAGCAACCTTTCGCGGCCCGAGAGGGCGCCCCTCACCGAGGCCGAGGAAGGCACCGGAGGACACAGGCAGGAGCAGAGCGAGGGCGAGAGGAGAGGCCGCACCCGAGCGTGCCATCCGCTTCGCGCTCCGTGTCGGCGTGTTCTTACACTGTTCGTAACCCGTTCGTGGCAATCTGTTCTTACATTGCTCTCAACTGAAGGGAAACTGGGACACACAAATAAATACACACAAATAAAAATATTCCCCATATTTTCCTATATTTTCTAGGTTTTTGTCTTCCCCACCACTTCCCATATTTTCCCATATTTTCCTGGGGATCGACGATTAATTGTGTCTGTGTGTTTTTTCCCCTCCTGATCAACCCGTCCAGAAAAGCAGGTCCCCGAGCAGACGGGGCCCGAGCAGGCGGGGTCGGAGGAGCGCGCCGCATCGCCAAGGCATCGGCGATCCTGGGCGGGCCCGTCCTGAACCCAGCGGCGGTGTCTTCGCGGCGCCCTCCCGACCTGGCCAGGAGGGCGTATGCACAGCAACTGGCTTCAGGATGGGCCTGGCCGGGGAGCAGTTGATAAAACACGCCCAGTCTGTGGAACACACACACACACACACACACGCACACACACACACACGCACGCACGCACGCACGCACGCACGCACGCACGCACGCACGCACGCACGCACGCACGCACACACACACACACATACTAACACACACACACACACACACACACGCACGTCTGTGGAACAAAAACACGCGTCTGTGTGTGGATGTTGTTTCGTTCCACCGTGTGTGTGTGTGTGTGTGCGTGTGTGTGTTCCACATGGTTTTTCCCACCATGTGTTTTTTGTCCACAGCGTGTGTATGTGTATGTGTTTGTTGTGTGTGTGTTGTGTGTGCATGTGTGCTCTCGTATAGACTTCGTCGCCCGGCCCCACCCGCTTAGAAGCCGACCTCCGCCGGCGGGACCGCGCCGACGGCCTCCGCTCCGAGACCCGCTGGGGTGAGCTGGCACAGGCAGGAGCCCCCCGCCAGCAGTGGCGCGAGCGCCGGGGTCGGCAGCGAGCCGTCGGGATGGCCGCGTGCCCTCCGGAAGGCGACCGTCGCCAGGGGGGGGGGGTCACACGCGGACTCGGGGGAGCTGGCGCACCCTCCCCGCGTCGCTGTGCTGGAGGAGCGCGTGCCCACTGCTCACGGCGAGGTCCTGCAGGCGAGGCAGAGAGAGAGAGAGACAGAGAGAGACACACGATCTGCTTTTTCAATCCGTGGCCACTGGGGATCCCGACTTCTTCCCTGGGAATCTAGAAGTCAAAGCATCCACCCCCGCAGTAACCGTCCCGGCACGCGAAGTCGCTTATAGTAAACGCGCCCAAAGGAGGAATCGAACAGGGCAAGGCTGCTTAGTAAACGCCTATATAGGGCCGGCCAATAAACGCCGAGTGTCCGGTCCGGGTGGTCTGTCCTCCCTTGAGGATAAGCAGTCGTCCCGAATGTAATGGCGTATTGCCCGTAGCGCCGAAGGACGCCCACTGGCGCAGTTGAGATGGGGGCCCCGCCGTTCCCGGGGGGCTGCCACCTGCGCAGCCGTCGCCACTTGCGCGGGCTCCTGGGAGATCCAGCGGAGTGGTGTGCTGCGCACATGAGAACTAAATGTTGGCCAGGCATTTCCCCCGACAGGCGGATTTTGGACGAAAACTAAAAAAGATCAGAAACATACTCAAGGATAGCCCCAAAAAGCTCAAAAATGGCCCACGGACTATTATTTGCCTAGTTTTGAATATTCCTCCTGTAGACAGACAGGCCCGACTTCACACTACATTGCGCCAGAGAAAACCCCAATCTGTGGATGGCCCGATAATGTGGCGGGCACCCTGCCTGGCCGCAGTTTCGCCGGAGGGCCCGAAAAGGCCAAAGGCACAGATCCCCCTTCCGTTCAAAAAGGCTGTGACGCTCTCGCCTTTGCGAGCATCCGTCGGTGGAAACGGCCCAAGACGCCTCCAAGATAGACGACCTGAGGGCGCCCGTAGCCAGCCCTGGACGGCCTCGGGCTGGCCCTGCGACGGCCCGTGGAGACCCGCCACACGGCGGCGACGGCCGCAAGATGGCCCCAGAGACCCCAAGGGTGCGCAGGACGCCTGGGAAGGATGAGCTCCCAGAAGTGGGGGCGACAGGCGTCACATGCGACGGCGCTCGTCAAAAGGGCTAGAAGTAAGGGCGCGACAGGCCCCATCGGCGGACATGCGCCCCGACTTCCAGAAAAGAAAGCAGCAAGCAGCACACACGCCGAGCCAGACCCTTTGAATCAGAAGGCATCAGTCGCCTCCATGAGCAGATTTCACTCTCTCGCAGGAAGTCTGCACCAAGCGATCACCACACACACGGACCAAAGGATTTCATCCTCCACCTCTACCTTTATTTCTCTATTTTTCTCGGGCACTTGCCGGCTCTCTCCCTCTCTCTCTCTCTCTCTCTCTCTCTTTCTAGATCTATATATATAGATGTTTCTCAGGCACTTGAGAAGAGATATCTACCTGTTATAAAGTTTCTCCCCCTCTCTCTCTCTCTCCAATGCGTTCTTCTCGGTGCATTGTGCGTGACTATACATATGTATGAATATCCGCTATGTTTCCTTTCTTTACCCTACCATCTCACCCTGGCTTCTAGATTCTAGCCTATACGTCCCACTTCCCTGCCCAGCGTTGCAACCTTGTCTTCAATAGGCGTATTCTACTCGCTAGCCTCTCCGCTATCATGTAGACAATGGTCGCAAGGGTACGGGCATTTGGCCGAGCCGCCGACTTCGAGAACCCCGCATGCATGGACGTACATACATATTTTGTGCGGCAAGGTATTCCCCGAGGAAGCCTCAAGTAAGTACATGCATACATCCGCCACCGTGCCTCGAGGCACGAAGTGGAGTTACCCCCAAACTCTCACGTGTTCTTTGTTCTCTGTACTCGGGACTCTGGGATTATAGCGTTCTAAAAGCTGGGGCCCCAGATTCTCAAAATTCCCGGGCACTCCCGCGCGCTCCTGGGCTGCCTCGCGTGACTTTTCCAAAGGCCAGGGGGCCCCAAGACGGGACCAGAGGGCCCCGGACAAGAGGGTCCGAGAGGCCTCCAAGACAGCCCCAGAGCGCTCCCAAACGCCCAAGATCGGCCCAGGACGGCCCAAGAGGCCCCAAAGACGCCCCAAGAGCGCTCCAAGAGGACCCCCACGAGGGCCAACAATCGTTGGGTATTTAGGAGGAGGAGGAGGAGGAGGAGGAGGAGGAGGAGGAGGAGGAGGAGGAGGATTTGTTTGTGGCGGAGCACCAACCACACCAGCGACGCAGCCGCTCGGGCGAGCAAGGCCCCCAGGAGCAAGACGAAGCCAGGACGAGGACAACTCTGGGCGAGGACGAATCGAGAATCCTTGAGATCTGGCGGCCCCGGAGGAGGAGGAGGAGGAGGAGGAGGAGGAGGAGGAGGAGGAGGAGGAGGAGGAGGAGGAGGAGGAGGAGGAGGAGGAGGAGGAGGAGGAGGAGGAGGAGGAGGAAGATGTCTCGGGCGCCGCAGCCTTCTCAATCCTTCTGGAACTCTCTGGAAGGGATTCACCTCGTCCCATCCCCGTCCGAAGGAGCCTCCGAGCCGTGTGTGGCCCGAGGGATCGGCGGACGAGGACGCGTGATGCCGGCGAGATAGGCAGCGGGAGCAGCGTGGTCCGGCTTCGGTCTCTGGTACTCCTCTGATGGGTCTGTTTCCACCACCGCCACCATAAGTTGGAGGGGGAGGGGTCCTCCATCTCCTCCTCCTCCACCTCCTCCTCCTCCTCCTCCTCCTCCTCCTCCTCCTCTTCGTTTTCCTCCTCCTCCTCCTCCTCCTCCTCCTCCTCGTCCTCCGCCTCCTTCCCCCCTCCAACTTGTAGTGGTGGCGGGGGAAAAGAACCCCATCATCCTCGGCGGTCCCCAGCATCTGCCGGTGCCTGGCCTGCCAGCCGCAGCTGGCAGGCCGAGCACGTCTGGCAGTCGTCGGTGATCGGCGGCCAGGCGCCATCCGCCTCGCTGGCCAGGCCTCCGGCAGTGGGGGTCGGGGCGGGGGGCGGGGGGCGCAGAGTGAGGGGCGCAGCGCGGGGAGAAGCGGAGGAGCGAAGAAAAGGCAGCGGGAGGGTGAGCTCAGGCACAGGAGGAGGAGGAGGAGGAGGAGGAGGAGGAGGAGGAGGAGGAGGAGGAGGAGAAGGGGAGGCGGTGGAGGATGGGGCATTGCCCTGCGACAGCCGTGGTTCTGATACTCTGCGCAATCTGACCTCCCTCGTTGCTGTGCGAGGCCTGGCTGAGCTGACCTTCCAGGAAAGAGGCGTGACGGTGCTGGGCCTTTTAGCGCACGACGCCTCCCCACTGCTCCCCGTCCTCTTCCCCATCATCTTCACAGAGCTTCCGCCCGCATCATCATCTGAGTATTTGCGTTCGGCCAGCATGTCTCAGGAATGAGGGCCAGCATGCACGTCCCTGGCTCGTGCCAGCATGTCTCAGGGCATGAGGCCCACCCGCCACGCGAGGAGGGGGAGGTAGACGTGCAAGACGTGGCGGAGGAGACAATGGACTGAACCCTCGATGATGGCCTACGACTGGATGATAAGCTCTTCAGCTGACTTTCGTCGAGGACAATAGTCATGGGTATCTTTGCACCGCCTCATCCTTGATTGCTGCCAGGACAACGTCAAATTGGCCCTACCAGCCTCAATGAAGGTTCAGAGCATTGTATCATTGGCCCTGCACTGTAGCACGTCACCGCAGGGGCCAGCACTGTCACGATAGGGGTGGGACTTCGGGGGACGTCATGCGAAAGGAACCTTGCCATGCCAAGGCATCTGCGTACTCCTGGTCTGCTGTCGCAGCATTTGCCTTATTCCTTCGCACTCCATGCCTTCCTCGTCTTCAGGTGCAAATGTGAAGGCCTTCCGATCACGCTATTCTTGTCTCGCACTCGTCCTCTCGGGATGTTTTCGCGTCCGTCCCTATGAGAGCTCGGGTTGCCGAGGAGCGCCACAGCCCCGCCGCCGATGTGTGCCCCACGCCGAAGGAGGAGGAGGAGGAGGAGGAGGAGGAGGAGGAGGAGGAGGAGGAGGAGGAGCGCCAGTACCATTGGAGGAGGAGGAGGAGGAGGAGGAGGAGGAGGAGGAGGAACACATTAAACCTGATGTAACCACGAACCCCGACTTTAGAGGACAAGTGGGCGTGACTTGCGAGGAAAAGAAAAACAAAGAAGAGGATGCCCTTAAAGTGCTTAATGCTGATTCCCGTGTTGTCCGTTTGACGCTGTGCCGCTTTAAGGCGCAATATGCTGGTTCCCGTGTTGTCCGCTTAACGCCGTGCCCCTTTGTCGGGGCGTCTCCGACCATCTTGGAGCCCTGTTGGGCAGCCTTCGGGCCCTGGGGCGTCTCCGACGACCATCGCGGGACCGTCTTAAGCAGTCTTGGGGCCCTCTTGGGGGTCTCGGGGGGCTTCCTGGGGACCTCTTGGAAGCTTCTTCGGGCCTCTTGGGGGCCGCCTGGGGCCTCCTGGCGCGTTTTTGGGCGGAGAACCCAAAATGCTGGTCCGTGCTCCCCCTCTGGGGCCCCTCTTGGGGCGTTCCTGGGGCCTTCGGAGGCCGTCTTGGAGGCCTCTTGGGTCGTCTTGAGGGCGTCTTGGACTGTCTGGGCGCTCTCTTGGGGGCCTCTTAGGCCGTCTTGGGGCGATCTTTGGGACCTCTTGGGCTGTCTGGGAGCGTCGGGAAGCCGACAAGGCGAAAGCGCGAAAAACCTTGCTGTTGACTCTTGGGGCTCTTCTGGGGGGGCCTCTTGGAGGCCTCACGGGCCGTCTTGGGGGCTTTCCTGGGCCATCTCGAAGCCATCTTGGGCGCCTTGGACCGGTCCTTCGGCGACTCGTAGCTCTCCTGGACCACCCTGCGGCCCCTCCCGGGGCCGCCTGGCACCCGCACGGAACCGCGTCTGCCGAAACAGGGGCCGGCTTCCGCCGGCGTCTGCCGGCGCTCGTCGCGTGGCCGCTGGCCAGGTCCCCGGGGGACGCCCCCCCTTAAGACCCCCCCAGGGGAGCACACCGTCCATGCAGGTTCGGGTCGCAGCCCGCATCGAAGGCTTGCAGTCGGACTCGGCACGCGAGAGGGCACGCGAGAGGGCACCAGGACCCCTCCCGAGGGCCACGTGGCCACAGAAGTGCAGGAGGCACGGGCCGCAAGACGCAGGACACGAGGGCGCCCTGGATCTGGCAGGGGTCGACCTACGAGTCCGGGCCGCCGGCAGTGCCCGTCTGACGTGGAGCCACCCGTCTGTGGCGGCACGGGCTGTCCTGTCAGAGGGCGGGCGCGGCAGGGGGGCCCTGGCCGTGACTGGAGAGAGAGCGAGAGAGAGGGTGAGAGAGAGGGGAGCACGCAGCGGGAACCCCCTCCGCAAGGTCGGGGAGGAAAAGGGCGGGAGGCGGAGCGAGGTCGGCGGGGGGCGGGAGCGGAGGAGCGGCGGCCGCAACAGCGAGAGCGGCAGGGCGGAGAGGGGGGGGGGGGCGCGGGGCGAGGCGAGGGGGCGGGGGGGAAGAAGACTGCCGGCCCGTGTCATTCTCAACACGTTCCAGGGCATTCAACTCTCACCAAAAACTTGATGGGGCCCAGGGACACGCAAATAGGGATACACACAAAGCCCCGGATTCCCCGTATTTCCCAAGATGTTCTGGGTTTTCGTCTCCCCCCCCACTTCCCATCTTTTCCCATATTCTCCTGGGAGTCGACGATTGATTGTGTCTGTGTGTTTTGTCCCTTCCTGATCAATCCTCACCCTAAACGATTCTCACCAAAAAACGAGCCGGTGCGCAAACGGTCACCACCGGCAGACGGGAGCAGCGATTGAAGCTTGGCCCCCGAGGGCTGTACAGAGTCGAATTTCCGCAGCCACGGGTAAGCGTGTGCGCGGGGGCGCGGGGGATCACTCCGACGCGTCATAGGAGCAAAACTGCACATGAACTGATCTTGCAAGACGCCCGTTGCACAGAAGGCAATTCGGGGAAGGACAGAACCCCCTTTAGCAAAACGTCGTTTAGTGAAAACGACATCGGGCCCAAACCTGGCGGGCGCAAGCCTGGAAAATGACGGCCGCGGCGCCATCGCGAGAACCGAAAACGGACAATTCAACAATCGACGTGTCAGGGTGGGGGTCCTGTCCACCCCCAAACAATGAGCAACATCGTCCAGGCTCATTAGTAATCGCCGCGCCGTGCTGCGGGGCAGATTCGAACAAAAAACTACCAGTTACTACATCAGCTGGCCCGCGCGAGAGGGCGGTGGGCTTGGAGAGCACGCGGCAGACAGGTTCCAGAGCCCACGCGGACGCCCTGGCACTATATTAAGGTCGGGCGTGCCCTCCTACAGGGGGACTTTGGACGAAAATTTAAGAGTATGGTTTAAACCTGATGTAGACACGAACCCCGACCTTGGAGGACAAGTGGGCATGACTTGCGAGGAAGAGGAACACGAAGAAGAAGACGCCTATAAAGTGCATAATGCTGATTCCCGTGCTGTCCGTTTGACGCTGTGCCGCTTTAAGGCGCATTATACTGGTTCCCGTGTTGTCCGTTTAACGCCGTGCTACTTTGTCGGGGCGTCTCCGACCATCTTGGAGCCCTGTTAGGCACCCGTCGGGCCCTGGGGCATCTCCGACGAACATCTCGGGGCCGTCTTGAGCAGTTTTGGCCCCCTCTTGGGGGTCTCTGGGTGCTTCCTGGGGACCTTTTGGAAGCTTCTTCGGGCCTCTTGGGGGCCTCTTGGAGCCTCCTGGCGCGTTTTCGGGCGGAGAACCCACAATGCTGGTCCGTGCTCCCCCTCTGAGGCCCCTCTTGGGGCGTTTCTGGGGCTTTCTTGAGCCGTCTTGGAAGCCTCTTGGGCCGTCTTGGAGGCGCCTTGGGCCGTCTGTGCGCTCTCTTGGGGGCGGCTCGTAGGCCGTGCTGGGCCGATCTGTAGGGCCTCTTGGGCCGTCTTGGAGCGTCAGGAAGCCGAAAAGGCCAAAACGATAAAACCTTGAAACACCTGAGGAAAATCCATGACTGTTGAATCTTGAGGCTCTTTGGGGGGGCCTCTTGGAAGCCTCCCGAGGCGTCCCTGAACTCCCTGGGCCGTCTGGACGCGATCTCGGGGACCTCCTTGGGGCCTCTAGGCGCCTCCTGGGGGTTTTGTAGGCGGAGAGCCTAGAATGTCGGTCCCTGCTCCCCCTCTGGAGGTCTTCTCGGGGCGTTCCTGAGACGTTCCGAGGCCGTCTTGGAGGCCTCTTGGGTCGTCTTGGTGGCGCATTTGACTGTTAGGGCTCTCTTGGGTGCCTCTTTGACCGTCTTGGGGCTATCTTTGGGACCTCTTGGGCTGTCTTGGAGCGTCGGGAAGCCGAGAACGCGGGAACACGAAAAACCTTCAAACACCTACCGAAACCACTTAATTTTGACACTTGGGGCTCTTTTGCGGGGCCTCTCGGAGGCCTCCCGAGTCGTCCTGGGAGCTCCCTGGGCCGTCTGGATGCGATCCTGGGGGCCTCCTGGGGGCCTCTTGGGGCCTCCTGGGGGTCTTTTTTGGGGCGGAGAACCCAAAATGCTGGTCCCTGCCTCTCCTCTGGAGGTCTTCTTGTGCGTTCCCGGGGCCTTCGGAGGCTGGAGGCCGTCTTGAGGGCGTCTTGGACTGTCTGGGCGCTCTCTTGGGGGCTTCTTAGGCCGTCTTGGGGCGATCACGCGGGAACCCGAAAAACCTTCACAACCCCAACAAAAAACAATGAATTGTGACACTTTGGGCTCTCTTGGCGAGCCTCTCGGAAGCCTCCCGAGCCGTCCTGGGAGCTCCCAGGGCCGTCTGGACGCGATCTTGGACGGCCTGGATCGATCTGCTGGCGACTCTTGGTCCTCTTGGACCATTTTATGGATCATCTTTGGGCCGCCCGTGCCGCACGGAAGCGCGTCTTTGAAAAATACCCCAAACTGGTCAAACATAATTTTGACATCGTCCCCTGATTATATTTTGGCTATTGTTGAAGATCCCTCCTGTAGAGGGACATGCCCGACTTAACACTATTTTGCAACGTTGGTGGGCTGGTCTGTGCGGGCCAGCTCGGCTGGACACGCCGGGGACACGATCCGTCAGAGACGGGACCCTCAGGGAAGCTGCTCAACACTCGGCAAACCAATCTTACTGATACATCTAGAGGCCATGCCCAAAGAACACTCCCGCACAGCGTCGAGAAACAACAGGGGGCTCCGCGGCCACGCTCGGATCAGCAGCTGCACGGCGACGGCGCTGCTCGCTCCACGGTGTCCAGAGTGGCCTCAAGCGCCGCCGAACTTGGACGAGCTCCCCACGCAGCCAGCAGGCCTGAGGACTGGCGGCGCGCCCCAGAGGGACGTGAGAGGGGGCAGGCCTTCCCACCTAGGCGGCGAGGCCTCTCAGAAGACCCCCGGCCTTCCGAGAAGCCCTCTGTGTCTTCGGAGATGGCCCAGACAGCTTCTCAGAAGAGCAGGACCGCCCCCTCTCAGCGTCCCCCCTGGGCTCGCCGCCGAGAGGAGCACGGAGACGCCGACACCGCTGCTCCCCGGAGACCTACCCTGGGCCCTCCAGGGGTCCGCTCCCGACCACGACCCCCGAGGCGACGCCCCTCCCGAGGAGACCCCATGTGAGCGAAGACGAGGGACGGGCACTTCGGGGTGGTCGTTGGCCTCGGCCTCGGCCTCGTCGTCGTCGTCGTCGTCGTCGTCGTCGTCGTCGTCGTCGTCGTCGTCGTCTCGGAGGTGGTTTGGCGACTGCGGAGGTGCCCGTCGCCACGGCTGGCTCCAACAGCTTCGACGCGGGCGCCGTTTCCTGGCACCTCGTGCAGCGCTCAGCCCTCCGCGGTCTCCGCTGCGCTCGAGCTCGACCAGAGGACGCGCGACGGGACACGAGGCCCTTCCGAGGGCCACGCTGCCACAGGAGTGCAGAGGACACGAGACGCCATGCGCAGGGCACGAGGGCACCGTTGCTTTGGCAGGGCCGACCCACCAATCCAACTCGCGGGCGCCGGCCTCTGGCACCTCGTGCATCGCTCCGCCCCCGGCGGCCTCCGCCACCTGACAGCAGAGGCCCTCCAAGAGCGCCTCGGCTCAGGCCGCCGCTGGCCTTCAACCTTGAGCGCAGAGCGCCGGCGCCGCCGCCGCGCCGACGCGGCGCGAACCCGCCGCATCGGCAATGGCGGGAACCCCACCAGGTTGCCACTGCCATCCCTCTTGGGGGCGCCACTGGCACTTCCGCCGGCTTCCGCCAGCCTTCCGCCAGCGGAGCCGCCCTCCTCTCGCTTCCGCCGCCCTGCGCCGGGGAAGGGATGCCCACTCCGCAGACCGCCGACGTCGTGCCTTTTTCACAGCGTCGACCCCCTGAAGGCTGGACTTACCAGCCTGGAACATATCCCTATCCCTAAGCTGGGCATCGCCTCATCACAATGCCAATCTTAGGGATTCCCTTAGTTTTTCAGGGCGCATCCCTAAGATTGTCATCGCCTTTTGGCGTGTCAATCTTAGGGATAGGGATAAGTTCGAGGCTGGTGATGGACCCCTCCCCCGGGACCGGGTTTTTCATCGTGACTCGCTCTTCGACAGCCCCGAGGCCCGGTAAGGGCTCCTGGAGGCCGAGAGCAGCGCAGAGCCTCCCGTCGCGATTCTCTCACCGCGCGAGGGCGCCTGGGCCCCCCTTGCTCCGCGCAGGCGAGGCCCTGCCTGGACCTGGAGCGCCTGGGAGGTGCGTTTCTACCCTGGGAGGCCGCTTCTTGTAGCGGGCGGAGAGCGGCGCGGACTCGACGCAGCGCTCGCGGCCGCGGGCCGACAGCGGCTGCGGCACGCCCAGCAGCACCGGCTTCTCCTCCCTCGGGGTCCTGGGGCTCCTCGGCGGCAGCGCCTCGGGCCATGCATGTTGCTCCCATCGGACGTGAGGGCCACATCCCAGAAAAATCATTTCGAGCCCCTGGAAGAAAAGTGCCGAAACGGTGTCGAAACGGTGTCGAACGAGAGTGTCCCAGGGCCCGACGCGTGGAAAGCCTCGAGTTTCGGAACTCCTCTCGGTGCTCGGAATTCTTTCTGGTGGTGAAGGCTAAAGTCGGGGATGGACAGACCCCCCTTTAGTAAAACGTGGTTTGGTGAAAACGACCCGAGGCCCAAACCTGGCGGGCGCAAGCCTGGAAAATGACGGCCACGGCGCCCTCTCGAGAACCGAAAACGGACAACTCACGAATCGACGTGTCACTGTTGGGGGCTCTGTCCGCCCCCGATGGAATAGGTTGGAACACCCTGCAGCCTTGTGGTCGGTCCAGAGAGGCGGGGCGCCTTCGCAGATGATCAGGCTCGGCGAGTCCGGGGCGGGCGAGTTCTTCGTGCCGCGCCGCGGCGAGAACAGCGCGGACCTTCCGCGGCAGGTCGTGGAGGAAGGGGCCCAGGGACACACAGACAAATACACACACACACACACAAATCCGAGGGTCCCCCATATCTTTCAATGTCAATATTCTCTTGCACTGGGTGTCTAGAGCTCCGACCACTCTATTCCGCGTCGCACCCCCCCCCCCGGCGCCCCCAGCGCCAGAGTGGGACCCCCGCGCCGTGGCTCTCTGCCCCGAGCCCCCCCGCGCCCCCAGCGCCCCAGCGGGGGCCCCGCCCACTGCCCCCTCCGCCTCGAACGCTTTTATTCCGCGTCGCGACGCACACCACCTCCCCCATCCCCGCGTCCCCAGCGCCCCAGTGGGGGCTCCGCCCCGTGACCCCTTCCGCCCCGACAATTTTATTCCGCGTCGCGACGCGCGCCGCCTCCCCCCTCCCCCGTCCCAGCGCCCCAGTTGGACCCCCGCCCCGTGGCCCTCTGCCCCAAGCCCCGCCCAATGCCCCCTCCACTCCGACCGTTTATTCCGCGTCGCGACGCACGCCACCGCCCCCCCCCTCCTCTCCGCACTCCCAGCGCCCCAATGGGACCTCCGCCCCGTGCCCCCCTCCGCTCCGAGCACTGTATTCCGCGTCGCGACGCGCGCCACCTCCCCCCCCCTCCCCACCTGGGATTTGGGCCTCGTTGCTGGGCCCCGAGGGGCGATGTCTTGCCCCCTCTTCCCCCCTCCTCCACCACCTCCTCCTCCTCCCCCTTCCTTTTTGTGCAAGAGCCATGGCACACGTGTCACTTGTTTGTTTGGAGTTTCGTCTTCTCCATCACCTCCCATCTGTCCTACATTTTCTAGGGAATCGACAATGAATTGTTTCTGTGTGTTTGCCCTCCTGAATGGAAGCCTCCCGCCTCCTGTGCCATCATGGTGGTTCTGTCGAATCGGCGCTAACCGATGCGAATCGAAGCTAAATTGACGCCAATCGGCGCCATATCGACGCTCGTCGACGCTAAATCGACGCTGAGTCGGCGCTTTCTCATAGACTGCCAGGCGCCAGCGCACGATAGCGCACTCTGACTCTGAAGACGGAGCTTCGAGGACATACGAGTCTTCCATGAGTTGCAGCGGACCTGCCCAAGACGCTCATGAGGCTCGGCGAGCACGGCTCCGAGCACACGGAATGCCCCTCCCGGAAGCGCACGCCCGCGCCTGCGGGCGATGAGGCGCGGCCGGCGTCGAAGCTGTCCTGTCGGCTGCGCGCCGGAGCCTCCCTGGGCGAGGGCGGCCTTTGGTGCGCGGCTTCGGATGGAGGGCAGCGGGGGGGCCGAACCCGAGCGCAAGCCAGTGCTGGGGGTGGTAATGAAGGCCCTGGCACCATTATTGGGTGGCGCTCAGACCGCCGCCCCCCGGGGTAGTCCCAGCCGGCCTCAACGGGCCCCCCCGAGCAGTCCAGTGCTCTCGGCACCCTGGCGCCGCCTCCAGCGGCGCCTCCAGCGCCCAGGGGTCGGGGTGCTGAGACCGCCATGGACTACTCGGGGGGCATGGAGCCAGCTTGGTCCAGCTGGGGGAGGGGGGGGGGCTGCCTGCAGGCGCAGCCCGAAGCCTTTCCAGCTGGGGGGCACCCCTGCAGGTCGGCCCGCACCCATGGGTGACTCCAGCGAAATGGCACTCTTGCGCGCAGCCGATCCTGGCCCTCCCAGGACAGGGACTCGTCGTCCTCCACCCGCGAGGCGTCCTCGCCCTCGGACTGGCACGCGTCGTCGATCGCCGCCTGCACCGCCCCCAGGCACATCTGCCCCGCCATCCACGTGCTGCCCGGCCCGCCCGCCGTCCCCGGGCGGCTGCTGGCGCTGCTGGGCCGGCTGCCCTGACGGCCAGGGGTGCTCGGCCGCCGCCTGGCGGACCCGGGCCTCGAGCCCGGGCGCGGGCCGGCCGCCGCACCTAAAGGGAAATTAGGACACACAAATAAATACACACAAATACAAATATTCCCCATATTTTCCCATATGTTCTGGGTTTTTGTCTTCCCCCCCACTTCCCATATTTTTGCATATTTTCCTGGGAGTCGACGATTAATTGTGTCTGTGTGTTTCTTTTCCCCCTGAGCACCGTCCAGCTCCGGCCCGGTGTCCACGCCCGGCCTGGGCAGCGCGCGCCTGGCGGCCTTGGGCGGGTCGCCGCGGGCCGCGTGCGCGGAGGGCGGGCGGCACCTGCCGCTGGAGGGCGGGCGCGCAGAGGGCTGCGGGGCCTGGGCGTCGCTGCTGGGCGCGGGCTGCTCGGCCGCCGTGCTGGCCTGCGCGCCGTGTTCCGCCACTGACGGCGCCGGCTCCTCCTCGCGAGGCGTGCTGGGCGGCTTGGCCTGCGCACCGGGCGCCGCGGAGATGGGCGCGAGCTGCTCCCGTGGCGTACTGGGCGGCTTGGCCTGCGCACTGGGCTCCGCGAAGATGGGCGCGAGCTTCTCCCGTGGCGTGCTGGGCGGCTTGGCCTGCGCACTGGGCTCCGCGAAGATGGGCGCGAGCTTCTCCTCCCGCGGCGTGCTTGGCGGCTTGGCCCGCTGGAGGCGGTCCATGGCGGCGACTGGGAGGCCCTGTGCTTCGGCCGGAGGCTCCTCTGCCTCCAGGGCGGCCCGCGGGGTGGCGGGGCCGAGGGGCTCCAGGCGCTCGCGGGACTCCTCCCGGCGGCGGCGGAACTCCCGGCGCACCTGAAGCTCCGCGGGGGCCTCCGTGGAGAGCTCGTCGCCTGGGCGCACCCTCTCGCCCATCTCGCCCCGCGCGGCGTCCTCGATCTCGTGCAGGATCTGGATCCGCCTCGGCGTCGGGCGGGCGCTGGACCCCGCGCGGCGGGCGCTGGGCGGGCACGGCCCCTCCCCGCGCGCGGCCGCCGGCGGGGAGGGCGCCGGGCTCGCCGCGCGCAGCCCCGCGGCGCCGGCCGGCTCGGACTCCGCGGGGCCCCTCGGGCCGAGAGCGGCCATGGCGTTGGCGGCAGCGGCTGCCGCTCCGGCCGCCCTGCTGGCCGCCGCCCGGGCGGCCTGGAACTCCGCCGCCGGGCCCTCCGCCCCGGGGGCCCCCGCGGAGCCTGCCGCCGGGGCCGCAGGGGCCGCCTGGGCCTCGCCGCCGCTGGCCGCGCGGGCGGGCAGAGCGCTGACGAAGCCCTCGGCCACCTTCGCCAGGAACCTCCAGACCATGGCCGGGTCGCCCCAGGTGGAGCGCGCCGTGGCCCTGCAGTGCCAGAACTGGGCGCTGGTGGCGGGGTCGGTGAAGGGCCCCTCCCACGCGAAGCGCGAGCGGCCCGCCTCCTCCAGGAACTCCTCCTTCTTGGACTCCATCTTCTCGGCGACGGTGCCGGCGAGGCTCGGCTTGCGCCTCCACTCCATCATCAAGCGCCCGAGCTCCGAGAATGCGCCGAGGAGTGGGTGCGTGCCTTCCTTGCGCTCGCCGTCCTCCTGCCCTGTGGTTTCGATCTCGAAGTAACGCATCCCGGCGGCGCCGCCGTCGGCGCTGGACCAGCAGGGCGGCAGCGGGCAGCGCTTCAGGCAGTTTGCCAGCCACAAGAGCTCGGGGTACGTGTCCGCGATGGTCAGGGAGGCCTCCTCGGTGAGCGCGGACTCGAAGATGGCCTCCAGGAGCTGCTGGTTGAGCCGCTGGACCTCGATGGTCTCCTTCCAGGCGTCGACCTTGGCCGGCGCCGGAGTGCCCGGCGCCGCCGGCGGCACCACGCACCGCTCGCCTGCGTCGCCCTGCGTGGCGCGCATCCTGTTCCGCGACGAGGCCCGGCCCGACAGCGGGGGGCGCGGCGAGGCGGGGGGCGCCGCCGCAGGGAGCCGCTCTCGAGCGGACTGGGGGGCCCGGGCGGCCGCCTCCTCCTCCCTGGCGATCCGCGGGGCGGACAGGGACCTGTGGGGGGGGGGGGGGGGGGCGCCCACACGTCACGCCCCGCAGGTCCAGGCGCGGCCCGACCTGGGCCGCCCGCCTGGCCCCAAGGGCACGTGCGCAAGTCCGTCCCAACTCCGGACTCGCCGTATTCTTGGCGGGAGTGCCCGCACCGAGGCGGAGACTCCCGCCGCACAGCAGACACGACGAAAGGCTGAATCTGCGCAGCTCCTGGCGTGGAGGGTTTCTCCGAAGGGCTCAGGCGACCCCTCCTCCTCCTCCTCCTCCTCCTCCTCCTCCTCCTCCTCCTCCTCCTCCTCCTCCACCTCCACAATTACTCAATATGAATACTACTCTCCCTCTTCCCCTGATGACGGTTTGAAAGTGGCCGACCCCCCCCGCGCACTGTTTTTACACACAGGTTTCCCTGGAGTTGGGTTTTCGCTTGCATCTTTTTTCAAAGTGCTGCTCTCGCTGAGGCGCCGGCCTCATTTTCTGGCCCCGCTCGTTCCGAATCGTGCTCCCGCTGCAGCGCTGGCATCATTTCTGTGCTTCCGCTCGTTCTGAATCGTGCTCCCGCTGCAGCGCTGGCCTCATTTCCGCGCTTCCGCTCGTTTCGACTCGTGCTCCCGCTGCAGCGCTGGCGTCATTTCCCGTGCATGCCACGGCATGCAATGCAATGCTAGGTTGATACTACGCTTTGCGGTGCTCTTCTACGCCATGCCATGCCGTGCTCTACAATGCATCGCGTACCCTTTCGGGATCATTGCCCTGCTCGACATCCGACTGAGCGAGTAGAGAGGGGATCTGCGCCATGGTAAGGGATGGGAGGGAGGGGTAGGATGTCAGATATGACGCGAGCGCACCTAGGTTGTCCTCCTCCTCCTCCTCCTCCTCCTCCTCCTCCTCCTCCTCCCACTCCTCCTCCTCCCCCTCCTCCTCCTCCTCCTCCTCCTCCTCCTCCTCCTCCTCCTCCTCCTCCTCCTCCTCCTCCTCCTCGGGTCGCATGTACGGCCCTGGGGGAGACCGTGCATCCTGGCGCGCGAGCCGCGGCTCCTGGCCCAGGCCAGCATGGGGAGGCAGCTTCGAAGACGACCAGGGCGTGCCTGCTCCTGACCGGCCTCGCGGAGCCAAGGGCCACACCCGGACCCCCTCGCGTCGCGGAAAAAAAAACGGCGGGAGGTTTTTCGCTATCGTTGGCCTCCAGGGGCCTCCTCACCGGGCCCCGGGACTCTCAAAACACGACTCGGGATGAAAGCCCGGTCCTGGGGAAGGGGTCCAGACCTCTGGGCGTCGACGTCGTGAAAAAACACGACGTCGGGGGTGTGGGCATGGAAGCTTGCGAGACCACGAGCTGCAAGGAGGGGAAGGCGGACGGGGGCGGAAGGAGGGCAGCAGGCGGGAGCAAGTGGGCAGCATCCAAGGCCACGCTCACGGCGATGCTGCTAAGCGGTGACGCTGGAAACCGAATTGTAGGACGTCGCGAGCCACGCTTTCCCATACATTTCCGATCTGCGGATGTATCGAACGAACGAAAACGACGCAGCGAATTGTAGGAAAGCACGAGCCGCGCGTTCCCACAATACCGAATACCTACATCGCCGTTACCTGCATCGCCGTTAGCGCGTCTACGGAGTATAACCTCAGAAGGTCTTTAATTTTGACCCCCCCCGTGATCTCCCGCGGCGAATAAAGCTGGTCCTGAAACCTCCTCGTCGCGGCGGAGATGATTTCCCCTCTATTGTTTGGCAGTCACATAGGTGAGCCTGCGGACGACCGTCCTTGACCCAGATCACCTGGCACAGAAAAGCGCTTCGCAGGCACTGTCGGAGCGACGACCGTCGCGCTGAACCACTCGCCCTCCGAGCGGGCTCGGCCGCATTGGACTTCGACGCAACGCCGGAGGAGGGGCAGAAGGGAGGAGGAGGGGATAAAGGTAGAGGACGGGCAGAGCAGCCTGCGGCAACTTCTGTGCCACCGGGCTCCTCGGGATCTCTGCGACTGGCCCGGCCGACCAACGGAGTCGCACCTGAGGCTGGGCTGCTGGACTACGCTGATGAAGGAGGGGGAGGAGGAGGAGGAGGAGGAGGAGGAGGAGGAGGAGGAGGAGGAGGAGGAGGAGGAGGAGGAGGAGGAGGCGGAGGCGGAGGAGGAGGAGGAGGAGGAGGAGGGGGGGAGGAGGAGGGGAGGAGAGGAGGAGGAGGAGGAGGAGGGGGGAGGAGGAGGAGGAGGAGGAGGAGGAGGAGGAGGAGGGAGGAGGAGGAGGAGGAGGAGGAGGAGGGGGAGGAGGAGGAGGAGGAGGAGGAGCGAGCGACCCGGGTGCGCGGGCTCTCGCAGCCACACTGGGCGCCGCGGGCGCGGCGGGTCCCGCCTCTCAGCGCCCCGTGGGAGGGCGCCAGCGGGCCGTTGCGGTCGGCGCGGCTGCCGCCCTTGGAGTCGTCGAGCTGCACAGCGGCGGGCTGCTGGACCCCCACAGTGCCACCCTGCACCTCAACGGCAGGGGGGCAGAAGTCGTCGTCGGCCGTGTCCACCTGGTCAGCGTCGCACCCTTGGCGAACGGGCGATCGAAGACCCCGCGCGGGTTCTTGAGCAGCCACTGGACGAACTCGGAGAAGAGTGGGGCGCGGTGTCGATGCCAGCCTGGGCCACGAAGGCGGGGAAAGCGACCATGGTCTCGTTGATCTCCGCATCGCTCAGAGCGGTGGGTGCACGGACGATGGGTGCCACAAGCGCTGTCGGCAGAGCCGCCAGCACCTGGATCGCCGCACCACCGCCGGCGTCGCATCTGTCGTTGATCGCTGCGTCGCCGCTTCTGTACTGCAGATCATCAAGGAGTTGCGCTGTGCCATCGTACTCAGGTCAGACAGCGTTGCAGCTCTGGTCGAGGTCGGTCCTCCCCTGGGTGTCGCACTGAACGGTCTCTGTGCCGAGCTGCGAGGTCGTTACGAAGTAGTCGTCCAGCACGCCAGGTCCACCAAGGCCAGCAAGCGCGGCGATGCTGTCTACCTCGCAGTCGGAGTCCTCGCTCTCGTCAATGTGGTCGTGGAAGCCAGGATAGCGGGCAACACTATGATCACCAGTAGCAGCAGCCGCGGTATCTTGGGCAGGTTGGTGGGTGGGTGCTGAATCCCGCGTTGCTCGTCCAGCCCGTCGGCAAGTGGAAATTCTTGCACATGTGGGGGCCCCCCATGGTCAAGCGCAGTGCGTTCTTGTGAAGTCGTGGGGAAGGCCCCCACCTCCGTCGCATTCCCCAGCAACGTAAGAATAAGGGGCCGCCCAGCATCGGCAGCACCAGGCAGAGCACCAGCAGAGAGCATCACTCAATCGTTATCATGGAGAGGACCAGCAGCAAGGCGTGAAAGTCCATCTTGCCGGGGCCGAGCTCCTTGCCACGTTGCCGCGTGGTCCCCGCCAGAGCTGTTCGAGAACGCATCAGAAGGCGGCGAAGGAAACGTCGGGAGGTAAGTACGTGCGAGACGCGCTTGGACAGCTGCTTGCAATGCTGCCGCTGTGTCGGGCGCCAGTCCACCGTGTCCGTTCGCAAATCCAATCATCGGGTGGGTGTCGTCGGAGGTGGGTGGCGCTGTAATTATCGTAGGAGCAATGCTCTTGTGCATGCCTCCGACGCTACCGCTCGGGTAGAAGACCGTGAGCCCGCGATCGGTGAGCGCAGCGTCAAACGCGTCAGAGTCCGACGAAGGCGGAGGAGGAGGGGTGTCGGTGCCCCCAATACTGCCAAAAGGAAAATGTTTGCACCATTGCGGGCTGAGCTGCGAATCGGATGGCACTGCTGCTCCCCCGCGCCCCCGAATTTAATATTGATAGTTGTGACATCTCCCTCGGCCCTTCGAACCAATAAAGATACATCTCATTTCAACGTGCGCGTCCGCTCTCAATGTTAAGGTCGGGGGCGGGGGGGTCGTATCGTCAGTTGTCGTGCCGCCCAGGTGGTGCAAACTTGCTTCTTTTAACCGTAAGCGTCGCTTCAGCAGCCTCATCGTGGCGCGGTAGCTCAGGCGCGCCCGGGGCTCCAGGAGGTGTGGCAGGCCGCGTTGGCCCAGAAGGTGCAGAGTCGGGGCGCGGTGGGATGTCGTCCTGCGCGCCGTCCGCGGCGATGCTGGCAGCCTTCGCGAAGTTGGCGAGGTAGTCACTGAGGTGGCAGATGTCCACGTCGGGGGCGTCGTCGTCATCAACGCCGAAGGCGGGCCCTAGGTCGCCGAAGCGGTAGTCGAACTCGTCGTCGGTCATCGTGCAATTTTCGAACCGAACAATTTCGTCCTCTAGCGCGGCCAGCTCGACCGTGTGTGCCTCATCGTGGTTGCCGTCCATCATCTGGATGTCCGCTTCCGTGGGGTTCAGGTACTTGTGGTAGTCGACGCTCGCATTGTCCTCATCTGGCAGGTCGTGTGGAAAGCGGAGCCGCCAGCCTCTGCGTGATCGTCGGCCTCGCGCGCATGTGCCTTGGCCTAGGTGTTCATGCGTCCGCAGGCAGAGTGCCTGTAGGCGTCGCGCCTCGTTGTCGGGCCAGGGGGTTCCGCAGGTACCGCCGCAGCTGTCCACGAGAGATGGATGGATTATACCAGCCCGCCATGCAAGTCGCGCAACAATGGATCGGAGAGCCCTTGGGCCCGGGGGTCAGGAGCAAGCCCGGATATTGGCTCGAAGCCCTTGCAGCGGAGAGCGTCTGTGGCGCGAGGGATGCAGGCACAGCCCAACCACCGCCGGAAGTCCAAGCCGCTGGTGCGGATGTACATCGTGGGGGGCCATTTCTTGGCCCAGATCGGCACGCGGTCTGTGAGCTCTCGTCGCCGGTGATCATGCCGAGGCAGTGGCTTCTGTGGCCGTCGGGGGCGAATCGCTTCTGCCCAAGCCTTCCGTCACGCATCGTCGGCGCCGGCGAGGCGCCCGAGAAATCGTCGTCGGACAGGAGACCGCAGCGGCGTCGAACACGTCGCGCTCGGCGTGGCCGTCGGCGTTCGAGGCTGAGTCGGGCGGGAAGGGCAGGGCGGGCCAAGCCTCGAAGAACGCCGTGATGCCAGAGATTTCGCTCGCCGCCGGGCTGGACACGGAGGAGGGAGCCGGCACCGCTCGACGTGCTGCACGGCTGCGGAGGCCGTCGTGCCACAAACGTTTCGATGATGTTCTGGACCTCGACAGTGGTGTCGGCGGTCGGGGGGGGCACTGGTCGCCGCCCCGCCGCCGCGCCGTGGCCAGAGTCGCTACCGTGGGGCGTGCTCTCGCCCCGTGCGTTGGCGCCGCAAGCGGTTTTGAGCTTCCGAGCCCCCTTCGCGGCATCTTCCAACTCGTGGATGGGAACCCGGTCTTTGGACCGCCGGATGTTCTAGGTCAGGTGCGCGCGCAAGAGCAGGTCAAGGGCCCCCCCTCACCCCCGGATCCAATATGCCCCATCGCAGCAGCGGGTCGCCTTCGAGAAAACCTCGTCCGCCAGATCGCGCCATGGCAAGGTCGTCCAGAGGCCTGAGACAGCTGAGCAAGTGTGGAGCGTCATCCGCTTCGCACTCGCAGCCGAAGATGCACTGGCGCTTGCCGCGCGGGCAGGGGGCCCACTGAAGTCAGCCAGCCTCCCGCGAGAGAGCTCAACAGGGCATGTGACCACGCTGGTGGCAGGGCTGCTGGCAGCTCCTGCACGCGCCACCACGGTGCACGGCGGAAATCGCCAGCGCTGTCAGGAAACCACGATGTCCATTGCTCGCAGCTCACGTTGGCGCCACTCCGCATGCGGCGCGTCGTAGCCGACCATCTGGCATTTCGTCGTGGCGAACAGGGCCGCCTACTTGGATCTGGCGGCTACGACAGCTGGCAGGGTAGCAAGATAAGGTTTGTGATTCAGAAGACTTCGCTTGATCTCACTCAGCGCGGCGGCGACGGCAGGCGTGGTCCAGGGTGAGAGCACAGGGGCAAGTGGAACCTCAGCCAGGGAGCGCTCGTCGACCTTTTGCGTGCAGCTGCAAGACAACGTTGCTGAAACTCGGTCGCTCGAGTGTGAGAGATAAGGGCCGAGCGGGCGATCGCCGCCCGCGCCAAGCGTCGCGCCGACGGAAATCTAGGCCCCCCCCTCGTGCAGGAAGCTGTAGTCCAGCGAATGGAACGTGCCGCCCGCGCGTCTGCAGGTCTCGACCAGCTGGTGCATCTCGTCGGAGGCGCAGCAGGCAGGAAGAGGTGCCAGCTGGGCGACAAAGCTGAGCGTCGAGATCGCACGCGCGCTGTAGAGCCAGGCGCTGGTGCTCATGGAGGCCATCGCCGCCGACGGTGCTGCGATGCGATGTTTCTACTTGTGCCCGAGCGCTTTCCAAGTGAGAACGAAGTCCAGCGACGGCCTCAGCCAGAAGCCCAAGTAGAGCAGGTGGCTCACGATCGCGAAGTCGCCCCAGCACGGGGCGAGCTGCTGCGCGCGGTTGCTGATCGCGGCGGCCAGTTGATCGTCATCATGGCCCTCCAGCGGCAGAGCCTTGCATTTTTCCGTTTCGAGCGCAGCGTCGTGCGCTCGACAACGAGGTCCAGCGCGCGCGCTAGCTTGGGCAGGGAGCTGAAGGGGTCGAGGACGCCTCCGACGTCGTCAGCGCAGGCTCTGGACATGCCGAGGGCGACGGGCTCCAACAGCACTTCTCATGAGATGATGACGGGCGTGGCAGCCAGCGCGCATGGGAAGCCCCCCGACAGCGTGCAATCCTGGACGACGCCGCGCGCGATCGCGAACGACGCCACAAGCGCGCCGCACATGGCGGCGGCGGCGGCGGCAGCGACGTGGGCGCGCAGGCCGCGCGCCGCTGCCGGGCGCGCGGAGGGAACGCGCAGCTCCTCGAGCACAGTCATGGAGAACTCCGGATGTAGGCTCGGGGGGGGGGGGGGGCCTGGCCGGCGCACAGGGCGATCAGGGGCGGGTGCTCGTCAAGCACGTCGGGCACGCGGGCCTGGACCCAGGGGCCGACGGCGGAATCCCACCAGCCCTTTGGGCGTGAGTGGTTTAGAGAGCTCTCTCTGTTCTCAACCCCCCTTCTTCCCCTTCGGGGAGGGGTTTACCCCTCCCCCTCCCCCCTCCCCCTGGACAGGGAGCCCGGGGTGGTGTCAGGGGGGTCCATTTCGACTCCTCCTCGGAGGGCCAAAAAACGATGACCCTCACGAGGATTCTGGCCCCGACGGGGGGAGGGAGTTTGGCCCCTCTGCTCGTCTTTGAAGCAGAAATCATTGATTTTACGAAGGTTTTGGCCCCATTTTGGCCTTCTGAGGGGGCCGCGCTCATCTTCCCTCATAGCAACATCATTGATTGTACGAAGGTTTTGGGCTCATTTTGTCTTTCTCAGAGGGCAGCTCTCATTTGCGTTTCTGAGGAGGTCGCAAGAGGCCCCAAGATGGCCCCAAGAGGCCCCCAGGAGGCTCCCAAGAGGCCTCCAAGAGGCCCCCCAGAGGCCCCCAGAGGGAGGCCCCAAGAGGCCCCAAGAGGCCCCAAGAGGCCCCCCCCAAGAGGCCCCCAAGAGGCCCAAGAGGCCCCCAAGAGGCCCCAAGAAAGCCCCCCCAAGAGGCACGAGGCCCCCCCAAGGCCCCACGAGGAGCCCGAACGACTCACACCAGGACGAGGGGCCCGAACGACTCACACCACGAAGAGCCCGAACGACTCACACCACAAGGAGGGGCCCGAACGACTCACACCAGGACGAGGCGCCCGAACGACTCACACCACGAGGAGCCCGAACGACTCACACCACGACGCGGGCCCCGAACGACTCACACCACGAGGAGCCCGAACGAGTCACACCAGGAGGAGGGGCCCGAACGACTCACACCAGGATGAGGGGCCCGAACAACTCACACCACGAGAAGCCCGAACGACTCACACCAGGACGAAGAGCCCGAACGACTCACACCACGAAGAGCCCGAACGACTCACACCAGGAAGAAGGGCCCGAACGACTCACACCAGGACGAGAAACCCCAAACGACTCAAATCACGAGGAGCGCTTTCTCTCCCTCCTCCTCCGCCTCGTCCTTCTCCCGCTCCCCCACAAGGAGGATGTACAAGGAGGCGGGAGGAAGGAGGAACAGGGGAGATATGCGGGGCCAAGCGGACACACGCCAGAAAAACACGACTGTCGGCATGCTTCGCGAGAGTTGCTGCTGTGAGATGGGCTGGTGGGGATACGCGCAGCGTAAAGAATTTAGCATCGCCGAGATGAGCTGCACTTTCGCGTCGCGGAGCCACAGCGCGCGCACCTCGCTGGAGGGTGCGAATGGCGCCACCGTCGGGGTGATCGGCCGCATGTGCGCCGTTGGGACGGAAAGCGAGCTTGGTGACGCCCGAGCAGCGGAGGAACCGTTCACCGCTCATGAGCAAGAGGTTCGCGTCGCACAGAATTTCCGCGCGCCATGGAATGGCCGCCCAGGCGCGGCGCAGCAGGCCGTCAACGCCAGGGGCCAGGCGCACTGCAGCCATGCGACGCACTGTCTTGGCCTTGAGGTCGGCGTTGGACGTTGGCAGCTCGAGGTCTGTAAAGGGGCCGAGGTGCTGCTTGACGCATTGGCGCGCCTCGCTGGTGCTGATGTCGGTCATTGTGAAGGTCGGCGCCCAGTGCCGCGAGATAGCGCCAGCTGGTCGTCCTGGTGTAGGTGTACTTGTTCGCCCTCTCGATCACCGCCTAGTGCCATTCTCTGGGCGAACGGCATCCGGAGCTGGCCGCGTCGCTCAGCAGCAACAGCTTGCCATTCCAAGCCTTTCATCCTGGGCGCCTTGGTGGTCTCGACCTGGATCGCGGAGATGTCCCCCTCGGCGGAGTGGAAGTGGATGCGCTCCGTCCAGCTCTGGAACAGCTCGGGGCGCGCGATGGCAACGACGTCGCCGACCTCCGCCATGCGCGCCGCAGCTCCCAAGGACGAGTTGATGATGCACGGCGAGCCACGGCTCGCAAAGCTCGCCTGACTAAGATGAGCGGGGGGACTATGTCGTCGACGTCAGTAGTTGGCTTTGCCGTCATCAGTAGCAAACCAGCTTCTTCCATCCGATCTTGGCGCCGTGAGAGCATCAGTGGCGACGACTTAGTCTCTTCGTACTTGGCAAGCATTGCGAGGGTCGTGGCCCAGTCGGGCCTGAGGAATACATCAGGCGGGCGGTTGAGCTCGACGAGGGAACGCAATGCCCCGGGCTGGATGACAATCTCGAGCGGCGCGGTCGGAAATGCCGCGGTCATGAAGCTGTTCAGGCGCGTTGATGCCGGCGCCTTTGATGCTCAGCTGGCTTATCATCCACGCGGGCACCGCTGTCCAGATCTCATCGAGGTTGAACAAGTTGCCCGTGTATTTGCAAAAGTGAGCGGGGCCATCGGCAGCGATTTCCACCAACTCGTCGAGAACCTGCTCCCGGCGCGCGACGTGGTACTTGCTGTTATTGTGCTTCTGGCGAGGAAGCTTGCGAGCTGGTTGCCGAAGATGGTGCGCCGAGGCCGTGCAATTCATGATCCCAGCGATGATGCGCAGGCGTTTGCTCGGAGCGGCGCGTGCCCGAGCAGAATCGCCCTCGCGGTCCCTCGTGATGCCGTGCATCTGGCGCAGCGAGATGTCGCGGTTGTGGATGTTGCAATGGCGGAGCTCGGCGTCAGCCATCTTGACAGCGACCCCCCCCCCCTCCCGCCAGCCTGGCGGCCTTCGCCGCGCGGGCCGCCGCCGCAGATAATGGCATGATCGCGGCGGCGCCGCCTTTCTGGCGCCCCCTGCGCGCTCGAAGAATCAGCTGGAGACTTCGGATGCGGGGCGGTCCTGTCCACGAGAACTTCGACCTGATGCTTGCTTTGGTGGGCCTCCTGGAGAGCAACGAGCGCACGCGGGAGGTCGCGCTGTCGAAGGTAATCAGCCTTCTCGAAAGCCATGCCGCCGTGCCAGCAGAGAAGCGCTCGCGCGCTCCATGTCGCGGACGATGCGCTTCTCTTGGTTGCCGCCGAGGGTGCAGCCCTTAGGTAGACTTCGCGCTGCAACTGGGGGCACTTCCCAGAGGCGCCACTCTGGCTGGGCATCAGGGCAGGCGACGGGGTGAACGACGTCGCGCATCTGGGCGCGCGCGCGCGCCCCTTCTCCCCGAGGCCCTCGGCGTTCCAGAAGACGGCGGTGGGCTCGCGCCCAGGGCAAAGTTGGAGTCGAAGAAGAGGCGCCCAGATTTCCGAGGCCCACCCGTTGCAGCGGTCGGAAAAGCATTTGGCTGCAGGATGCGTCTCGCGAGGTCGCGCAAGGACGCGCTTGCCCTGGATCTCGGCGCGGATCCGGCATGGTGGCGTGCCGGGCCCAACGCGCAGTTGCGTCGACGGGCTCTCGACGGCGGGGGCGGCGAAACAGACCCAGCCATCCTTGCCTTCGCGCGCGCGCGGCGCCTGCTGCACTCGGAGCGCGGCGATGCTCGCGGCCCCCGTGAACTGGGCCACGAACACCTTTCGACTGCGGCACGCTCTCGACGCGGTAGGTGCCGACAAGGGCGGAGTCCTTGAGCCATGGGCCCAGGGGCCGCGAGTCCGCCCCGCGCGCGGCCAGCGTGGAGGCCGCGACTTTGATCGCAAGGTCCGCGTCGGGTTTGAAGCTCCTGCCGGAAGACTCGGTCGGTGGGGGGGCGCGGCTGGCGAGCGCCGAGTCCTTGCGGGGCTGCTTTATCTGCGGCCGAAGGTCGGCGAGCTACTTGCCGCGGTTGTCCAGCGTCTCGTCGCGTTTGCTGACGCTGGCGCCAAACCTGTCCAGCTGGCCTTGGACGCGCTCCCCGAGGTCGCCCGG